TGTACATATTTTAGCAAAATGGCGATTTAGTCCTTGAGCACGTTCAACCGGTGATGAAACAATTTTACTGGATGAACAATCAATCAATGGAGGAATAGCGGAATTCTTCGTTTTTCCAATAGAATGTTTTAGTAAGCTCCATCACACTCTAAAAAAAAGGTATAACCATTTGAATCATATCATAACTGTTTAAAAATTTCTTATTCTTATCAGTAGGGTCTGATTTGTGAACATCTGCAATTTACATGATATATCTATATGTATATCTAGATGTTCAGATATTCTGATATTCAAGCTAGATATTTCGATATTCAGATGTTCTAGAAATGTGGAAAAGGGAAAGTGGGGGTGGCAGGGACAGATGAGAGTGAGGCGCTCCCTGATATTTGTCATCCTCAAAGAAAAGAGGAAAATATCTGAACATCTAGATATTATGTAAATTGCAGATGTTCACAAATGAGAACGGTCTCATTCTCATCAAAAAATTAATTTTCGTTTTCTAAAATACGGCTAAATTATACTCTGAAAAACAGTTTAGGTTTCTTAACAAAAAAACTTTCAGGTATTTTAAAATACTAAAGCAATTCAGGGTTTTTTAAATCACAGCTTTTTCGTATTCTAAAAATGCCAAAAGGGTTTTCTGATAAAAGTAAAAAGCGTTTAAACAGTTATGATATGGTTCAAATGGTTATACCATTTACCGTATTTTAAAATACCTTCTTTTTTAGAGAGTAGGACTTCGAAGAGTTCTTAGTAGACGATAAATGAGCATAGTAGCCATTTTCGCCTTTAAACATTCTCTTTCTACCTGTTTGACACTAAAAAGATAAGCTTGATGACCCTTGGTAGATTTCGTGTACATATAACGACGAAAACATTTTTGTTTAAACGAATAATACTACGAATTTTATCTGAAAACTATAGCTGGTCTCTGGACGAGACAGTAATCCACTTATTTACTAAACAAGCATTAGCAGCGAGCGGTAAGAAATTTACTTTGAAATGCTTCAACTCTTTCTGAACACGAGGTAAGATGACCAAGCTCATCATGCCAGTCCGCTGAGGATAATGCAAATCTAATACTAAAATCGTCATTCTTGCCTCGTTTATTTGTTTATCTATTATTTGTTTACTGTTTAAAAAACGAAGAAAAGAGCAGACAAGAAATCGTTTTACACAAGCTCATAATCATAGAAGAAAATACAAAACAAAATCTATCTAAGCACGACCTACGGACAAATGTTGAGAGAGAGAGAGAATAACATCATAAATGCGATCACGGGTGCCAAAAATCAAAAGAAGGATATACATATAATTTGAATAAAAAAAGAAAGTATACAGAAACGAGAGAAAAATAAGAATTTATTTGTTCGAGCAAGTGCGTAAAATAGAAATTGTCTAATCAGACCTCTGTGCAGTCAAAGAACCGGAAAAAGAGCCAGGTTTATCAGATCGTTCGAGATTTATCATTGAGAAAAAGAAGAACAAAAATCATGCATAAAAATAAGAGAAGTTATTAATCTGAGCACATAAGATGATTTGTTGCTGATATTGATAAATTTAATGGATGTTGAACACCAAAATTGGTATTGCTACGAATTAAATCAACATTATTTTTCGGCGATGATGATGCCGATGATGATGCTGGTGATCCTTCATTTTGTTGATGATTCGATGGGCTAACCATGGGACTTGTTTGCTGATGTTCATTAATATCTGACGATGATTCATTCAATGTACTACTATTATTATTGCTGCTATTATTAACTAATGACATTTCTTTCGTATCATTTGTCCATAAAAAACATGACATCATCGAATCTAATCGTTGATCATTCATACCACTATCATTACTTCCGTTTAAATTTGGTATTGATGATGATGACATCACATTTAGCATTAATTCATCATCTCGCATCAAACGTTTACGTTTATTTGGTTGACGACGTTTTAATTCAACCGGATATTTTTTTCGTTCATTACAAAATTTATAATACAATTTTCTTACTAATAATTCAATACTACCAATAACCAATACACTATTCGGATAACGTTCCACAAGTCGACTGACAATAGAACGTAATTCATCTGCGTTTGGATACCTAGTAAAACGAAATAAAAATAGTAAAAAATTATCAATTCCCTATATCATTAAACCTACAATTCATATTTAACGATTTCTTGATATAATGCTTGTACTAATGCATTTAATTGATTTTGATCGCCCGAGCCATTGAGAAAAGCGGCAATATGAGGTGGAAAACGAGGTATTTCTATGCCAGTCAGTGGTTTTGGTAATAAATCGTAGACAATATCATTTTTATGATTTAATGTATTCTCAGCATTCATTGTTGGTGAAGCACTCAATAAAAAATTCAAATATAGAGTAAATTAGATACAAACACAAGTCTATACATACGTGCTCATAACATCCTCGTACATTCGTTCAATTTTGATATTGTTTTGTGATGATAATAAATTGCTGTTACTACTGTTGAATGAGTCATTCTGTTTATCATCATCTCCATTATTACTATGACGATTTGTTACAGTATTTAAAGTCAATGGATAACTACTATTGTTTTCATTTAAAATTGCCAGCGGAGTTGTATGTAATGCTGTTGTTGTCGTAATAGTAGGTGTTGCACAACGATTTATTGCTGTTGTTATGGCAGTAATTATTGGACTTTTAGTATTACTTCCATCGCCATTTGTTGTTGTCGTCGATAAGTTATTTGATGTTGTTGATGTTGATGGTTCTCCACTTTCATTAGCCGAAGCATTCAAATCTTTTTCTCTAAAAATAGAGGAGACTGATAGAGTTCTATAGGAAAAAAGTGAACTATGCATACATTAACACTTGTAATCGACCTTCATCTGGAAAACGTTTAAATGATTCAATATCAATATATTCACGATATTTTTCATTCCACATTTGTATAATTAACATATGTTTTGGTATCTGTTGTAATTCAAATTCACGAATAATCAATTGTTTTAAATAATCATGTGTCAAATTATATTCACTTGTTGGTATTTCAATGAGACGATTACGTAAACGAAAACGACATAGATACGTCATTGTTGATGAATCTGATAATTTCCTATCCAACAACAAATACACAAAATATAGTTGATTTTGATGCTGTTATCCTGTTTATTAGCTCCAATGATGATATTATAATAAACAAAAAGGCAGATAGTACGACCTCAAAAACTAGATCAATTTAATATTCAATATGTGAAAAAGAAACATATTAGATTTCTTATTTTTCACATGAATTGGGGATCAAAATCCACCGTGTTCAAATTTA